CTCTCTCTCTCTCTCTCTCTCTCTCTCTCTCTCTGTCTCACACACACACACACGCATACAGAGGCGCCTACCCACGCGGACTCACTCACACAGAGCTAGCCAGCTAACCTTCTCTCCTGCCCCACCCTCCGCCCACGCACAGACAGACCCGCGTGCAGAGGAGGGTTTGTAGCGAGACGGCAAAAGGTCGCCCCCCCCCCCTCCCTCCCCTTCCGACCAACAAGATGCTGCAGCAGGCGCCCCTTCTATACGTATACTGTACTCCTCCGCACACGCTGCTCACCCAACCAGGCACCACGCGCCACTTTTCTTTTGCAATCTGACACACACACACGCACGTCGCCAGTTTGTACCAAATGACACACACACCCACACATACACGCTAGGGTGAAAATAGAGAAGTAAGGGAATTTCCACTCACCGGCGGAGCTCGGCAGGGCACGACGGAGCAGCGGAGAAGAGGAGATCCACGACCTGCAACGCACAAGGGAGAGACAGAGGTAAGCAAAGGGCACACAGAAGACGCGAGAGCATTGGGGAGTCCGGGGAGAGAGACGCGTGAGGGCGCGCCTGCTGGGGAGAAGGGAGAGTGTGTTCGGGATGCGTTTGAGCGGTATTGCGCCACCACAGAAACGGCCCCCGCACTACAGATTGCGCCCCAGCTCGCTTTACACTCGCTGGATGCTCCGGGAGGAGGTGCAACCCCCCCTTCCCCTTTTCACCACCACGTCACTCGCCGGGCCGGAGGAACGGCATCATGGAGAATGCAAACCAAGCGGGCAACGGGCAATCTAGCGGCGCCGGCGCCGTGGCCAAAAATGATTCGCCGAGGCAGCGGCAGCGGAACCCTCCCGGCGGCCCCGCGCCAACCACGCCCTTCTGCTGATGCAAAGAAATGCGCGGCACGTCTGCACCCCCCTTCCCCTTACCCCTCCCTCATCCAGCTTCTTCTCTGCTATCGGAAGGGCAGACAGAGCGAGAGAGGTGGGGAAGGGAACGGGGGGAGGAAGGGCGTGGGACGTGGGGCCGTGGGGGTGGGTGGGGCGATCTGTTGTTACTTGGGGTATGGCTTTATGGAGTGGCTACTTGCTCGCCGGCCGCCCCCTAACCTGAGCCACTGCGAACGGAACTCCTCCGCCGTGCGAACGAATTTCGACACAATCGACACACCGGCGTGTTCCTCTAGGTCCACTCTAATTATTAGTCACATAAAACTTGACCACCACCACAACACTTTCAAACTAAAGCCCACCAAAGTCGCTCACCGCCGTGCGTCCATCGCTCCTGTCCCGACCCGTGCAGCGCCTGCCGGCAGCGAGAACGTTCCGCCCGAGCGAGTTCGCCGCGCCCCGCCGCTAGGGGCGCGGCGGTCGCTCGTCGCTTGTTGTGGTCGGCTACCACGCGAGAGAAGCGAAGGCACGGTGTTTGCTGCTGTGTAATGTGTATTATTTACCTTGGAGTTCTCCTACGTCCGTCCAAATTTATCTCACGGTAAATATAAGTTAATCTAGTATTTTTAGCCCGCTCGCAACGTACTGTTAGTAAATATATGCCTCAAAACGTGAAGTTATGATTACAACTTAACCTGCCTGTGGAGTGAGCCTATCTGTTTGGTTTAGGTTTTGATCAAAATAATTCACGTCTTTACTCAACCTCAGCCATCTAATAAAACGTGATTTTTCAGGACATTAAGAAAATGCCCCAGAAAAAGCGAGGAAAGTCGTTTACTCACACCAAATCGGGCAGAGGAAAGACCGAACGCGGTGGTGGTGGTAGAGGCCACAGAGGCAGACGCACTGTGGTGAGTACCTTATCATTTTGTCTTTCTCGAGCAAAAAATTTCTGTTTTGATTTACTGAAGTTATATTTTTAATTTCTAGACCGGCTACCTGCCATCTGAGGAGGAAAACAATGCTGCTGACAATGTTGACAATGCAGTTCCTTTGTGTCCACCTTCCCCTCTGTGTAGCCCTGATGCAGAAGACTCAATGGATTCAGTACACTTCAGAGCTGCTTTGGCATCGCCTTTGTCTGCATTATCTGGCAGTTCTGAATGTTTGGTATGTTATCAGAGCATAATTATTTTTGTTATGTCTGTCCTATTCAAAATACTTATGTGATCGTATTTTCATTGGCAGGCATCTGATCAATCTGAAGCGGATTCTAGAGGCACTCCGAGTCCCAGTCCCACAGTTTCAAGAAGTTTTAGGGAACTGCATTTATCGCAATCCTCATCAACTCCAAGTTCGAGCACCTCCCAGGTACGTTGTTTGCCTTCAGTACAACTGTTGCTGGGTTTAAATAATTTGTCACCATATTTTATTATTTTTTTGTTCCTATTCAGGCTTTTGTGAGCCCATCTGCAGACCTGGTGATGAAAGTGCTAAATTTACTGAGAGCAACTCTTCATCAGGATTGGATCCCAATTGCTGATCGTGGAAGTTACATTATCTTACTAATGTCTCGGGGAATGGAGAAGAGTACTCAACGCAACATCAACATAACATTCAATGGCTCTCTCAAAATTACTGTTCACCGTCGACCCATTCCAGAATCATTGTGTGATGAAGTGCTTAAAGTGGGTGGACCTGCTGTTGTGCTCAGTGAATATACATTCAAAGAATTCACAGACAGAGTGCTATCAATTGTAAATTTTGTGAGAAGCTTTGAAGTGTGTGCTGGCACTTGTGATAAAGAGTATAAACATTTCTGGGTGGACAGTGAAAAAGGGTCAGTGGATAAAAATCCCTATGGTGAGAGCAGATATGACATCACATACAGATCGTCTTCTTGTCATATGCTGGTTCCAGTGCGAAAGTGGAAGTGTGAAGAATGTGATAGAGCTTCACTTAGATTTAAACGTAAAGTAGTGCATGAAAATATTTCTGATTATCATCAAAATACCCCTAATGTTTATCTCTCTGAAGAACAGAAACAAAGCAAGTTACAAGATCAACAGAAGAAGATTAATGCTGGAAAAAAGAAAATAGCAAGGATGCAGCAAAAAATTAAAGAACTATTACAAGACCATGGAGTAAATGTTGATAAAGATGTGAGTGATTGTCTTGAGGAGGCAATAAAGTGTGACACAAATTTAACTCCTGAAGTGAAACAGTTGAGAGATCTCTTCCTCCAACAGCAGCACAAAGCAGCATCAGTGAAGGGGAAGACAGGCATGCGTTGGCATCCTGCCATGATCCGGTTTGCAATTTTAATTAAATCTCATTCTTCTGCTGCTTATGATGCTATTAGACAGTCTGGCTTTATTTGTCTTCCTGGAGAGAGAACTTTATTTGATTATACTCATACTATTCCCCAAATGCATGGCATTAACACTGTCAAAATGCAAAGGCTGTCAGAAAAGGTTGCAAAATATGAACAAAATCATCAACATTTCCACAATTTGTTAATGGATGAAATTCATATTTCTGAAAAATTAGTCTACAGCAAGTCTACTGGAGAGATGCTTGGCTATGTTAAATTATCTGAAGCTGAACAAGAAATGGAGAATTTAATGCATGTCATCCAAGATAAAAATCCGAAGAAAGAAGACCCACAAACAGCAAAAAGAATTTTGGCTTACATGGTAAAGGGTGTCACAAATGATGTCAAGGAGGTTGTTGCTTGTTATACTACTCATTCACCAACAAAAGAGTTTCTTTTTGACAGAACTTGGGATGTTATTACTCATTGTGAACTAGCTGGTATTCATATTTTGTCAGTTGTGTGTGATGGTAGTGCAGTTAATCGTGGCTTTATTCAGATGCACACCCCTACTAATCCAGAGAGACAATTGAAATCTGGTGTTGTTTTTGCTTGCAAGAATTTGTGTGTTCCAGACAGAGAATTATTTTTCTTCTCAGATCCACCCCATCTAATCAAAACCCTCCGAAACTGTTTTGCAAAGTCTGGTTTTCACCCCAAGGCCACAAGGAAATTAACTAAGGGAGGACAATTTATTGTTTGGAAAACAATTGAAAGGCTTTTCCTGGAGGACCATGAACACACCATAAGAAGTAGCTTTAAATTAAATGCTCAAAATGTGTATCTCAACAGTTATTCCTGTATGAATGTAGCACTAGCCACTCAGGTTTTAAGCAACACTGTATCTGTTGACCTAGCTTCTCGTAACTGGGCAAATACTTCAGAGACAGTGACTTTTATCAGTAAATGTAACAATTTCTTTGATAATTTAAATGGTGCACACTCTGCCATGGGCACAAGGAAAGCCAATCCTAGATTAGATCCGTACACCTCCTCCTGTGACAAAAGGTTTGATGAGCTTGATGAGTTTGTCACTTATCTTAGGAATTGGCTAGAAGAAGTTAAATCTGCCAAGGTGACTGCAAAGGAAAAGCTTAAGATGTTCATTCCACACCAGACATTTGAAGGTATTGAAATGACTGCAAATGCTCTCAGAGGTGCTGTCACATTTATGCTTGATGTTGCCAAAGCAAAGTTCATCAATGCTCGAGTTTTTTGCCAGGACCCCCTTGAGCAATACTTTGGCAAACAAAGGGCCAGTATTGGAGGGAGTAGTGCTCCCACTGAGAAACAATTCTATGAAAGTGACTTAAAAATTTCTATTCACAGGGATGGCAATGTTAGGAAAAGATCTGGAAATGTAGAAGCTGTTAATTCATGTATGCGCATTTCAGATGAACCATTGCCTAAAAGACCTAAGGTTTCATATGCATACAAGAAAGACAAAAAATCTGATTAGAGTGTTCAGAAATGTACCCCTGTCTGTGATAACTAAAGTAAACATACCTTTAATCTTTCCTTAATAATATTGCTGTACTGTTTATAAAGTGGAAATTGAATTAAATACCACTATTGTAATAGATACATTTCAGTTTTATTTGTTCTCCCTCAAAATTGTGCATATTTCTCATTGAGTATTACAAAATGGAGTTAAAATATAACAACATAATCAACAAATTGACATAGAAAATAATGGCATAAAGTATACTAGAAAAAAGGAACACAAAAAAAAAAATAGATAACACTAGAAATTTTTGGTAATAGGTTTACAAAGTACAGGATACTTGACTTAGTTTTTGATTAAAACTTTAGATCGGTGACTTATAGCAAGAGACGCTTTCTTACCTTTTCCCTTCTTCCACTGGCTGTTCAGCCTGCGAAGTACAATGCCTCGACCAAAAGTATTTGTCATAAGTCTAACTAGTTTCACCATGAGATCAAAGGATTCTTCCTCACACAATTCACCATCAATAATTTGGTCCCACTTACTTAATACGTGTGGCATTTCCAGAATTTTTTCCATTATGGCCTCATGACCAAGGCTGCCATCAGGTTTTTCCATTTTCTGGAGAAGCATAGCTACTTCTAAAAAGAAAGGTAAAGCTGTCTCATTAATAAAAATGAGATTCTTCCTATTCATTAGCTTTGTCCAGTGGCTTGCTTTGTTGGCTTGTGATACAACTGATGAACCGGCTACACTAAGTCTATTACGCACACATTTCTTTCTCCTTTGTAATCTGCCATTGTGAGGGTAACGATCAGCATGTCTCACAATGCTTTTGGCACTCGAACCAGCAATGTAATGAAGCCTTTTCTGGTTGAATAGGTGATTGAAGTCATCTTTGGACCTTGACATACGCTCAGCTTGAACACCCAATCTTCCACTCATACTACGGTAAATAAATGTTAAAGCACAGTCATTTAGCTTCCGCAAGAAATCAAGAATGAAGACATGCGCCACTTGAACTACACACAGTTCAACATCCATTAACATGTCCACACAATCTTCGAGGAACTGTCTATCAGAAATTAATGTCACTATAGACTTTTGAGAAAGAAATCTGGCAGTTGAGGCAAAAGCTGCCCCCTTCTGCTTCACTGTCACTACATTCACACCCTTCACAATAGCTTGGCAGAGCTTTTCTTGAAGTTTGCACCATTCCGGGGTGTCCATTTTGGTCTTGACAATTTCTGCATATGCCACGAGTTGCTGCCCATGTTCTCCTGCAAATGCTGTGCTGGAGATGCTCTCTAACACTGGCTTGCAAGACTGGACGCAATGCTTTTGGACATCAGCTGGAGCGGGCTGTTTGGCAGCAAGGGCTGAAACATATAAAAGGACTAATAAGCAAAGACTAAAGGAAATTATTTTATTGTTT